GGTGTCAGGATAATGTGACTGGGTGGGACATGATGCAGCTTATTTGTGGCATTATGCCCCAGTGCTAGACATCATTATAAACTGCTCACTGCAGACATCGTAGCAATGTGACTGAAAAATTGCAAAAGGCTGCGATAAGAATTTTATCACACACACAAACACACACACACACATACACACACACATGCAATTTACTGCCATGACGAAGTTCAAATATTTGCTTATTATAAACAGGCAGAAACGGTAATAATTTGGCAAAGCGTCAGTCTCGCTATCCAAGGATCGTGAGTTCGACTCCCGCCCAGGCCATCCTGTATCGACTGCATTGGTGTGTCCTTGTTTAGGGATCTTAACTCCGTTTTTCTTGGCATGATATACCATTAGTGTGTTAAAAGGGCCGTTAAAACCATCACAACAAAACCATGTTTGTAACCGTTTTCCTAACACACTTGTCCGTTTCTTTTTTAATCGATTGCCATTTTATGTGATATATCAGGTTATAATCCAAACAGAAGAATATATTGCAGTGTTAGCTGGCAAAAATACATCAGTGTGTTTAAACTTCCAAAACTTAATATGTATGTTGTTAATTAGTTGACATGTACTGCCTTAAGCAAAATTGACGTCAACATTGAAATTCAACATGAAGCCTTTAATCACATTTATAATATTTTTATAAATTTGTTCTGTACGAGGCATCCCCAGCGCGCGCGTGAGTGTTCGTATATTATATATTCGGTCTGTGATTTCCTCTTACAGGTCTATTTTTAATGGTACCTACAACAAAAACGTTTGAGGATATTTTGTGAGGTTCATAAATACTATTTGAAATATATAGCTCTACGCGATCGATATATATATATATATATATATATATATATATATATATATATATATATATATATATATATATATATATATATATATATATAATTTACGACGATATGGCGTCAGATCCATTGTTTTAAGAAACTAAATAGGACAAATGGAAAGTAAAGATTGATTATTCTATACATTTTTTAAATTCATCATTAATATTCGATTAGATGTTAGTGTAACATAAACTTTAATGTTGCCTAGTTGCGTCGCTGTGTACTTGGCATGATTTGCTTGACATACTGCAGACAATAATGTGCTGAAAGTGGAGTTAAATATCAACTAGCAACCTTAAAGCTCCCTAATGTACTCGTTCGTTAAATATGTAGAAATCAATGAAAACATTTTCCCATCCATTCCAATTGGAATTCAATAACAGATTTGCAATTCCCTGTAGAACTTGTATAGAATAAATTACATTGTTATGTGAATTTTTACGAAGCTTCTTTCAAACAGTATATTGTTGACCTAAGAAAAAATGGAATTTGCTTTAAAATGCCTGGCTTATTAGTCGATGAATATCTTGCGATATGCCAATATTAGTATTCGGATTTTCTGATTAAAATACAAGGGAGGTCGATACGATGCGAGTTTAAAACGATCTGAACAGTAAAGCTTCTGATGAAACCAACAGAGCAATTGCAACGGAGTTTTAAATTAATTGGTTGCCTTTGCTGGCTGGTTTGCTGTTTATTAATGTCATTTTAAGTATCACGAAGAGGAAACGTGAACTAAGTGTCTTTCCCCATAGACGCACCGAAGCAGCCGACCTGGAATAACCTGTCCGGCTATTGAGCCTTCATCTCTGGGATTATGATTCCGACGCACAGATGATTTTATACGAATTCTCAAAGTTTTCTGACTTTACATTGTCGCATGTACCTTCCTTCTAACATTTTCAGCAAAAAAAGCCCCCACAAAAGTACACCCCCACTCCCACCCCCGGCTTTTGGTAGAAATAGGTGATCTGGATGATGGGGCGTGTTATAGACAGAGAGACCGATAAACATCTATAGAGATGAGTACTTGTCTGGTTTAGTAGCGCTTTTAACCCATTATTGACTATACCATGCTATGGATTTTACAGCTGCATACCCAGTCACGGATTACCAAATAGGCAGAGTAGGCACCGGCCTATGGACCCCACGCCTTTTAGGGTCCCAGCGACAAAGAATCAAAATAATATTTAATTGATTTGATCTTGAAAGAAAATCACAATAAAGCTTTCTTGAATTGTTTACAAAAGATAGAAAAAAAAAAGAATTAACTAAAAGATTCGAAAACTTTGCATTAAATACTATAGAGAAATCATCGATTTCTTTGACAGCTTTTCAACGTTTTCTACGACAAGCGTGGGCGACGTTTATATTTTTGACTCTCATGCGAGTCCTCCATTTTTGTTTAGAGTATATATTTCAATTAGAACCAAGTGTCTCATAACCCGCCCACTGGTCGAAGATGACGTATACGTTTTGTAGACACGTGGTGTTTCTGTAACAGTTCGTGACCTACAAATTTCAATTAGTTGGCGCTCTACAGTTTCGTATTTAGCATAGGGTTAGTTGTTTAAAGAAAAGAGTTTCCCCGGGTTTCCTCACTAGTTATATTGGCTATTTAAAAGAGGCTTTGTATATCTTAGGTATTGTTCAAAGAACCTTTAATTCCCTTTATTTTGATGTATGATTGATGGGTGTAATATGAGTTAGAGAGTATAAAGCTTGGCTTTACTCCAGATGTGCACCTTTCAAAAAAAGTGCTAGCTCTACTTGCTCATTTTTACTTCTCGAACTTCAGAGATAAATTGTAAAAATTAGAGCCGATAACTTTTTTTTTTACATTTTATGTATTTGGTAATTCATTCATTGCACTTTTAGAAGCTGGTACTGTCTAGTATGGCAAAATTCATTTTCCATATTTTAACAGCTGCCAAGGATAGTGTACTTTAAAACAAATTCAGGTTGATTTTTGGCGCACAAAGGAGCAGTCATTTTAGTTAGCAGTGTTCTAAGATCATTTAAAATTTCCAAAAGTACAATAGCCAAAGTAATTTCAGCCATATTACATGAAGGTAGCATATAGGTATGCCAACATTCTCTCCACTATGCATGTTTAAAATGCAAACAACTTCACCTTACATACATCACTCTCTCAAAAGTGCCTAATAACCTCTCAAAAGTACATAATAACTGTTGAGCGCCACCTTAGAGCGGGTCCCGTCAAAAAATCATTTTCTTGTTTATTTTTCAGTTATCTAATTGAATCTTCACAAACTCTAGGTTTTTGTGCATTATTTCAGCTTTAAGTTGACACATTTTATTATTTTCATTAAAATTCATAAAATTACAGAAACTTTACCCTTACTCCCCCCAAATAAAAGACTTAGAATCATAGCAGAAAAGGAGAAAGGGACAGTCATAGACGGACAGACCAATGCACCGTAACATGGCCGGCTGACTGACAGACTGATGCACCGTAACATGGCTTGCTGCTTTACTTAATGGTATTATTCTCATTATTTACCATATCGTGCTAGGAAAATATAGCTAAGTGCCTTTCATATAAGAACACAGAGGAAAACGATCCTGGCGGTATGGTTAGTGTCGGACCCCGCTACATCCTCCTCTCCTCTCTTTCTCTCTCTCTAGAAATATATAGCTCTACGAGAGAGAGAGAGAGAGAGAGAGAGAGAGAGAGAGAGAGAGAGAGAGAGAGAGAGAGAGAGAGAGAGAGAGAGAGAGAGTTTTGAATATAATTTTAAATATTTCCGTGAGAAGGTACGATTCAAAGTCTGTTGATATGTAATATCTCCCTATTGTATAGACATAATGCCGGCTAATTAAACTACAATACGATTAAAATCAGATCTCCACTGTACACCCTGACCGCTTAGGGGTCATGTTATAAGGACCCATAAAATGTCCAATGAAAATCTGAAAGTGAATAGAATCGTTCGACACACATTGATGATTTTCAACAACACTGCTCAGTCTCCTAAACGCGAAGATATGACTTCATCTGATTGGCTGATGGAATTAATTTTTATGGCAATAACATAAGTCACCAGAATATGACCCCGAAGTTGCCGCTGTCAGATTTTCTCGTAGGAAAGTGGAGATCATATTTTAATCAGATTGAGATCTCTGGAATATTGTGTTCACCATTCTCCTCATATATCTGGCTAATGGCTCCAAAAGTCTGTGCCAAATGATCGTTAAATAAAATTGATTATTCTTAAATTGCAAAACTGCTGTAAGTGTCATCTTTGTGCATTAATACACTTACACTGGATATATATGTACATGTTACATATGTACACACATGTACTCACGCAAATATCAGCTAGAAAGAAAATATCGACCAGCAATGAGGAACAGGGCGACATATAAAAGGTCGACAACGATTCGGATTAGCAATGAGTGATTCTAATAATTCTTGAATTAAATTCGTGATATATCTTACAAATCTAGTTTTAAACCGTACATACAAATTCAATAATATCCTTTTGAGTTTGGACTCAATTTACAATCAATTAAATTGCAATAATGGAAGAAGGATGCAATGACAGCTGTGTATTGATTAGATTCTCTCTTTCGTGATTGCTTCACGTTTGGTTCCTCGATAATATGCTTTAACTGCGTATAATCTTCACCTTGCAAATCATATAAATTAAATACGAGTTGCAGCTAATACCTTTTGACTTTGCTATTCTTTGTGCAGGAATATCTATGAATTTGTTTCTGATTTCAAGTTATATTTCCTATATTCATAGAGAAGTTCCTTGAAACGAAAGGAAAAGAAAGGAAACTTAAACTTACAAGTACAATCAAGCAGACCGACATGGCATGACATGACATGACATGACATGACATGACATGACATGACAAGACAAGACAAGTCAAGACAAGACAAGACAAGACAAGACAAGACATGACATGACATGACATGACAAAAATTAAACATTTCAATATCATGCTCACCATTGCCTATATTTTCATTTTATTTCTTCTATCTTTATAGAGTTTTAAATTGTAAGGTATGATTCATGATTGCCATGTGATACTATTTACATACAAATGTATGCACAAACACAGCTCTGCATGAGTATACTTTGGAAAAGACCGCGCTGTTGGCTTAGTGGTTTGAGCGTCCGCCTCAGATGTGGGATGTCGCGAGTTCTAACCACGGCCGGGTAATATCAAAAACATAAAAATGGTACTAGCAGCTGCTTCGCTAGGCGTTCATCATTAAGAGGTCAGTGTTACTACGGATCGGACTGGTGTCAGGATAATGTGAATCGGGGTGGAACATCATGCTACATGTTTGCGAGATGATGCCCCAGTGCTAGTCATCACTATAAACTGTCGCACGGCAGATATTGTAGCTGCAAAATTGTTAAAGCTACTTTAAAATCCAAACTCTCTCTCTCTCTCTCTCTCTCTCTCTCTCTCTCTCTCTCTCTCTCTCTCTCTCTCTCTCTCTCTCTCTCTCTCTCTCTCTCTCTCTCTCTCTCTCTCTCTCTCTCTCTCTCTCTCTAAAACGAGGACTGTGCATATTTTTACTTATAAATTCCATGACCACTGAAGATTGGTGACAGGTCATAAAATAAACAATCAATATCTGGGTGCGTTATCCAGTATTATCGAATGCATGTGTATTTGTCACTTCAAACCTTCTTATGTGCTCTCTCTCTCTCTCTCTCTCTCTCTCTCTCTCTCTCTCTCTCTCTCTCTCTCTCTCTCTCTCTCTCTCTCTCTCTCTCTCTCTCTCTCTCTTTGATAGACTTGGCGTGGGGGGGGGCGGAAATTATAGTATTTCGAACTGGAATATACTGGAAAGGGTCCCAAAAATATACCCAAATATGTACCACAAAAAAGATATTATTTCATGTAATTATTTTATTCCCTCGTAACAACTGTACTGGTTAGTTATAGTCTATTTCATAGTATAAATTTTGTTATAAACCATGTGTAGAATTCGATACGAAATTCTCAGATTTTTGTCTCATCTGATGAATTACAGACTATGTACTTAATCAAGGGTATATTCATCTGCGATAATCTGTGAAAATTACCCAGTGATGCATTACTCACTTCGAAATGACAGATTTTGATCTTCCATCAACGGACCTAAATGGGATGTACATACACAATTACGTTGACATACCGAATTTCGGACCAGTGCCGTCCTAAGGCACGGGCACACTGGGCAGATGCACAGTGCCTTTCGCTTCTAGGGGCGTCATGCTGCCCATTTTGTTAAAGAATAGCAGGGCCGGTAAAGGGCCCCAGTGCATTGCTTTGCCCAGAGCCTACAATATTGTTAAGACGGCACTGGTTCAGACTCAACAACCAGTCCCACCCCCTCCTCTGCGAAGATATATTGCACATCGCCCCACCCACTCCAATCTCCGGACAATTTGTTGATTTTCATCTTTATCATTCTGTTTAGACTGAAAGTAATATATACAAAACAACTGATCGATACGGCTAACGTTTTCTAGACACCTTCTAAAACCCACGACTCAGGCTAACATATGTTTGACCATTATCTGACAAAATCTATTCTTTTATAAGGTGGTGATATATGGTCCTAATTCGTGTCAGTTAATTTCAAATAGACCTATCAAATGGAAAATCATCCAGTTGAAGGAAATACGTCAAGACTCGTATCGGATTAAAAGGTTGTCTGTTGTCGATACGGTTCGTTGTTAAAGCAGACGTGTCTCTTCGGTGAACAGAATAGCGTAATTTGAAACTCGGATCATACACAAAAAGGCAACAAAGAATCCTAATTGAATTTACTTGATGCGTTGAAACAAACGTCGGGCATGAACAGGCACTTTATAGAGAAACATGGGGTAATTTCGCTTTTCACCAAATACGAAGCAAACCCGTATGGAACCGATCCTTAAACAACTGTAATCAATTAGCTTCCTTTTATTGTCAGTACGATATGGATTGCTCTATTTGTCAGTTAATCTATCATCTATAGCATATCTCATGGCTGCCAGTAATGATGGCAGGAAAGGAAAAGCGGAAAAGAAAAAGGACGAAGAAGAGGTATGGTATATTCATTGCATTTTGGTTGAATATATTTTGCATCCATAAAAAAATATAGTACGTCAAGTTTGAAAACATGTTATGATTGTTTTCTTTGTAGGCGTCCGAATTACGTCATTTATTTAATTGGGACTATTTGTTTTGCAACATTGGTGCAACACGTAATGTTAGTACGTTTACTAGCTCAGATATTCGTGTAGTGTAAGTAGAATTTCCCTGTCTCAAAATTGTTTTCATCGACTGCCTTGTCTATTTCTATTTTGCCATCTTGTTAGCTTTATCTTCATGTGTGTCTCCATCACAAGGTGCCCTTAAATCTTTCTGTCATCTCCACTTAACCTGTCCTCGTCTCTTTATTTCCTATAAGTGTCTACCTGTCTCGATGGTTTATATATCCTGGTTCATACTGTCTGTCTTAAAGAGGTTATCGCGCTGGACTCGCAACCCAAAGTGTGCCAGTTTCGAATCCTACGATATGAGGAGATCAGGTTGGATACTGTGGGAGTGTCTTTGGGTGAGACACTAAACCATAATTTCCCGAAACTAAGTAAACAATGTCTGTCCTGTGTGCTGTAAACAAACCAAACAAAATCAAGTTATACTGGAGCTATGGTAACTCGGTAGAGCGTTTTGGCTTGTAAAGCAAAGAGCGCGTGTTCGAAAATGACAGGCCAGTCACTGTCGTCTACCTCTGTGTTCATGTGAAAGACTCACATTTCCTCGCCATGATACAGTCCGTGTTTTGAAAGTGTAGTTGAACACCATCCAACTAACCATAGGTCAGTACTTAGGGTGTATTAGTTATGACTCATTCGATCTAACAGAAGATATATTTCCTTTTTCCTGTATGTTCTTATCTTGAAACTATTCTTTTATTCATCTTCTTCTTCTGAAGCATATATATTCTCGTATATATTTAAAGACCAATGAAACATAAGAGGTTTGTGAGTTCTGTTGATGAAGTTGCAGAATATGAGCTTATCAATCGACTTAACGCTCATACCGATCTTAATTAAAGGTTGAGATTCTATTGTAACACGGAGCGTACACTGTTTAAGCTAACTCTAATTATAGCCACCATCGAGTAAAGTTGCTCCAAACTGTGTTTTTGTTAGGCACTGTGGTCATCATAGTTTCTTAAAATTTAACTTATATGTAAAGTTCGCATCAAGCTGATTACCTATCAAAGTCGAGAGCTGTAAAGAGAGGGTAATTAGGCTACAATATGGTTATATTTGAGATTAATGAAAATGTCGATGACTTTTTAAACTTCATTTGAACCGACAAGGTCTTAAACTCAGGGTCGCACATCACGTATGACATGTTGCCATCAGGTCAGATTGGAAGTTAGGTCTTAAATATGTGTCATGCCTATTGAATTTGTATTGTTTGATTGCATTTTGTCATAATTGAGGGCAGAAGTTTGAGCCTACAGGACTAATGTCAGGACATGTTTACTTGTATCTCTGAGTTCAGGATATTGGTTTTCCCCTCAGAAATTCCTGATCTATATTTTTTGTGTTCTGTACTCAAATTTTAGTAAGTGACCTAACCTTGTTACAGCTTAGAATGTTTTGGAAATGAACCTTGACCCTCATCTTGGTTAACTTTTTGTATCTTAGGTTTATATATTATGAATGTTTACATAATTATTCGTTCGTATCTTAACATTTATGGTGGAATCAGATTTTTAGTTGTAATTAGTTATAATTGGAGAGAATTTATATATATTGAAATTACACATCGGAATTACAAAAAAAAATCATTTACGTTTCGGACTAACTCATTATGTGGAGATTATTGTGATTTAATTTAAATTCATTTAAGATTATATCATTGTGATCTACCAAGACTGTTAGACATGTTCAAGGCTATTGGTACAACATCGTATTCGAGATTGGAATTCATTTATAACACCACTGAAATTCATTTGGAACACTTTAGACTTTTGGACTAGTAGTAAGACACGTGCTTTAGTTTAGAGAAACATTCGATTGATCTGAATATTGGGTGAAACATTGTAGACAGAACAACATCATGAACACATGTCCAACGGCAGACGGATTCAAACGGATGATCCAAAGCAAGAGGATCCTGACGAGTATCAGGATGGTCTGCACAATACAAAATGGAAAAGGTCAGCTATATTTTGTTTTCAGGCGAAATGAATGCTATTTACATATAAATGATTAATATCAAGTATTGTCTTTCTTATTAATAAAATACATTTATTAGGAAGCTATAAAATAACAACTGTTTTTATTGAATCAAATATATATATATATATATATATATATATATATATATATATATATATATATATATATATATATATATATATATATATATATATATATATATATATATGAGAGAGAGAGAGAGAGAGAGAGAGAGAGAGAGAGAGAGAGAGAGAGAGAGAGAGAGAGAGAGAGAGAGAGAGAGTCTGCAGCACAAATGCAAACAGTTAATTTAGATGCGCAAAATTGTCATTCGTGTCTTACAAAAACAGTCCCGACATCTGTTTTTACGACAATTGTTAACGTCTCAGTCTTATGAGAATTGTCCAGATTTTCTCATTATAATTATAAATACCTTTAAAACACAAGTCTGATAAACGATGCCCCAATGTTTTTGTCTGTGATAAAAACAACAAGAAAAAACAAACAAACGGCTTTGCAGCTGCATTATTGAACTAAATTAACTGGGCCAACGAGATAACCTAACAAATAGGATTGACAAACGAGAAAATTGTTTAATTATCGACAATAACATATCGACCATACATTCAAAATTATAAACGCATTTATCTTCGCTTTCGTTTAAACGATGATGATGATGATGATGATGACGATCATCATCATCATCATCATCACCACCACCATCATCATCATCATCATCATCATCATCATCATCATCATCATATCCATCTTCGTCTTTTTCTTCATCGATATCATCTTTTCACTATTATTTATTATTATTATTATTATTATTATTATTATTATTATTATTATTATTATTATTATTATTATTATTATTATTATTTTTATTGTTATTATTATTATTATTGTCATTAATTTTATTATTATTATTATTGTCATTATTATTATTATTATTAGTATTAGTATTAGTATAGTA